CTTTGTAGTTGTTTTTCTTCTTCCTGTGGTTCTTTTTTGTCTTTATGGGATTGATTATCAATTTTAATAGTTGTTTTGTGTCTTGTCATCGAGCTGTGTTACTTCATGTATATTCTAAAAACAGGAGCCCTCTGATGTGACGGGCCCCAGGATCATTTCTTTCAGCACACTCCTACATTCATGTAGGAGTGTGCTGAAAGAAATTAGATATGATGCAAGCCGATTTATGTGGTATTACAAAGTCTTTCTTTTCATTTGATAAAGTCACATTCACAGTAATCTCCTGCCTATGAAATTATGACGTTTTTTCAAGGATAAATATGGCCTTTATTGGATATTTTTTAAAAACTCCACACATGGTTTTTCATAACGCTACAAATTTTACACTTTATCATTTGTAAAATAAATGTTTCAATATTATCCCATGTCACTTTATGTAAATATTAAAAAATGATGTACGAATAGTATTTATAGTACACCATTTATTTTTGAGTATATAGTATTATCTATCTGATAATCATGTTCAGAAATATTGTATGAATACAACTGGTATTCCGGTATTTCAGTATTGTACCTGTTAGACGCTTTGAACGCGCCCAGGCTGCTCACGCGCATTGTTTCCGCCCCCTCCCTGAAGCGCGTGGACATTTCGTTCTTTCATTGGCTGTTGCTCCTGCGAGACCCGGAAGTGTTGCTGTCACAGGATGGAAAGCTTTTAGCAGCTGTTTCATTCAAAGGTTTGCGCCTCACGGACACATTTACTGTTATTGTCGGAGACCGCGGTGCATAAAATCCGTCTTCGTTAATCAAACACGACGTTTTCGGTGAAGGATAATCATGAAGCAGTGCTGGGCTCTGTTACTTTAACCCCAGCATTCATCCAGGTGTCAGCTAACCACTGATGAAAAGTAGCCTGGCTAGCTTCGTTTTAAACGCTCTTAAGTCATCTCTGTGTGTATCTTTAGAATAGCCAAGGACTCCTCTAATCATCGGGTGGAAAAAATATCCTGTCAATGCAATGATAAAGAGTAATTTTGTCCTCCTTCCCGGGTGCACCTGCGATTCCTGAGTCCAAACAAAGATGGC